AGGAGGCCCCACTAACGCCCCGCCGCCCTCCAAGCTCGCGGCAACGCAAACCGCCGCCCCGAGAGGGCGTACGCCAGTTTCCCGGGGGGGGGGGAAGCCGCTCGGGAAGCGCTGAGCGTATTGGCTGGCGCTTCCAGCCTACGAAGAGGATAGGCTCCTCCGCTGCTGTTTTAGGCGGGGCGAGTCTAGGCGAAGCGAAAGCGGACGAGGCTACGGTGCGCGGGCTGGAGCGCCTCAGGCCGAGCTTGGGCTGAGGGAAGAGCGGCCGCTGGTGGATCGGCTTGGCGGGAAATGTTACTCGAATGTCATTTGTTCCCACGAGTTCCAGGTCCTTTTTCAGAGCTACCAGAATGGCCGAGTGGTTAAGGCGTTGGACTTAAGTTCCAATAGACGTGAGTCTGCGTGGGTTCGAACCCCACTTCTGGTAACGAGGAGCGTTTTTCTCCCCTGCCGCTGGTGGCGACTGGGTCTTTTGAAGGCGTTAGATACTCTCGAATCGGATCTGATAATGGCGAAGGCTCCTGGTTAGGTCTCAGGTATCCTTACCGCTAGCCGCGTTACCCGGGGTAAGCAGCATCGAAGTCCAAGGACCCGGAGGGCACTGAGTTATCCGATGCAGTTTGGTTTCTCCAGTATTCCTTCTCCGGCGGAGCTGCAACTCGAAATCCTTCCTTCCTTCCTTCTCCAAATTCCCTTAAATTGTGGAATTTCTCCTTTTTATAAATCAGCGTTAATGGCTGGTTCGGACTCCTTGTCCTTTGGGCGAGCGGCGTCTCTTTGCACGAGGAATTCGCGGTCTGGTTCCCAGGCGGTCAAGAGGGCTTTGATGTTAGGCTTTGACTGGATTGGGTGCAGTTCCAGCCTCGCCGCGGAGAAACCCCCAGTAACTCCCAAGGGGCTTATTTCTGAGCAGAGTAGGGTGCTTCCTGCCTTGTTATTCCTGCCCCGTATTCCAGCCTTCCCCAACACAATGCCCTCCACTACGACTGAGGATTATGGGAGCTATAAGCCAATCCAGGTGGAAAAGGTCAGGTTATTCCATGCCTTTTGTGAGACACTTTTTGAGCCTCTTCCTACACACTGATTGTGTGGAAAGGGCTGGCTCAGTGTCCGTGGCAGACAAGAAGTTAATTCTTGTAAGTTCTGCCTCCCTCAACTCCAAGTTCAACAGTGCATCTTTTCAGCAAGAGCCCTATTCAGTGGTTCTTGACCTTTGAGCTGAAATATAAGAAGGGGAAAATGATTACTCCTGAGAGAAATGTGCTTTTGACAATTCAAGCAGTCTGTCTGAATCTCCAGGTACTAAGCTCCAAGGGTTAACACATTATGTTGGTGGATGGACTCAATTACAACAGTGATGGGCTGGGCACACTGTTTGAAGAACTAAAGGACCAGGTTAGCGACCAATCCTCCTGGATAAAATCTATCTGTGTGGTCACTGAGTTGACGACAGCTTGAGGGCATGCAATAAAATAGGTAGTTTATCCATGGTCATGTATAAAATAAATATTCATCATTAGCTGGATTCTTACAGCATGTTATGCTGAACCATGGTTTACGTATCTCCATCTATGGATACTTTAAGAAAGCAGGACAATCCTATGCATCTTTACTCAGGAAAGTGCTACTGTGTTCACCAAGCCTTACTGTTAGTCAAGTGAGTGTGCCAATACTTAGATTTTTTTTTTTTTTAACTTACCTTCCTACTTTATTTCAAGTACTACCTGCCAATTTCCAGTGGGACTCATTAGCTTAGCTGGGAGTAGCAACTCATCTTAGAGGGCTTAAGTTAAAAGGGATTCGCTGTGGAGTATGTTAGGTTGTCATCCCTGTGAATGGCAACTTACCAGAAACAGAATAATACATAGAAATTCTCAAAGGTAATGCTAAGTCCTGGGTATAAGTGGATGGAGTCCTCTGAGTCAAGGTTCTTCTTCTAAAAGGCTTTGATCCTGTACTAACAATCTTTTCCTCTGGAACTTTCTTCAGTCTGCTGTGGTCTTGACCCAAAAAAAAGGGGGGGTATTTGAACTCCCAATTTTTATTGATTTTGTATTGCAGTGTAACATCTTTTCTTAAAAGCAAGGTTTGTATTGCTTTTTTGCCTTTGGCATTATTTTTACTTATGAAATATGGCATTCCCCGAAACAATAGGAAAAATAGAAAGCAGAGGTTGAAAGGAAGTTAGATGCTCTCTGTGTGAAAAAGGTTTGCAATGAAACAAAGGGATTTGTCATCCACCAAGGATTTCAGGAATGATGGTACAAACAGAACAATTGTTAACCTGCTCATTTAGATACTGTTAACTAATTTATATAAGTTCCCTTAGAAGTACCTTCCACTGAGTTCACTGGAACCCCATCCCAAGTAATCTTGGATCTTGATACCATTTATTTATTAAAAAGGATGAAATTAATGAACAATATGTATGGCTATGTTTAAGGTTCACTGCTGTTACTAAATCCTTGTGTACCCTTAAACTTTCATCTTCAGCAGGAATATCATTAGTCCACAGTATAAAGTTGTTGTAAGCACCTGAACCAAATAATACCATGCTATAGGAATGAGCAGCCATAGAATGAGCAACAAGCAATTTTTATTTGCATCTCAGTAAAGGAAAAGAGATTTTAAAAAGAATCAATAGTGGTAAAATCCAGTTGCCCCTGTGGAATAGGACAAATGGTTTGATCTGCATTGAAACGAGTTTCCAAAGGCACAGTATTCCTCTAAAAAGTTGCTATAGAAAAGCAAGGCATTACAAAATAATCCTCAAGGGTAGAAGTAAGCCTTCTGTATCTTGTGTGTTTGTGTCTCCATCATTTTTTGCCACAAGAAGACCACTTTCTGTTTAGGAAAGAAAGAAGCTGACAGTCAAGCCATGAACACATTTCTGTTACACAAGCTTTGTGCAATATACTACTATGCAAATGGTGTACTCAGAAATCCTCCCTGTATTTGAACAAATTACTCCTAGTTCAGTATGCCCCAGTGTGCAGACTGAATAAACCTGATTCCCAAGTGCAATATGGAGAGTATTTCACAAAAACAGGAATATGGTGATATTGCTAGGTGAGGTAGAAGAAAAGAGAGATGGAATTTATGCTGAGTTATCTGCAGGGTGTGGTCAAAAAAGTCAAATTGATGGCCACAACAGTGCAATCAGGGCTTTGCCTGGTATTAAGTACTGCATGAATATAGCGCTTTATATTTTCTAACCATGTGGTTTTCTTGGTTAAAAGTACAGGAGTACTATTGCCTTCTCTTGTGCAGCATGGAACAATTCCTTTGCCACTGTCACTAAAGTGATCATCCACCTCCAGCCACTTCCTCTATTGCTGCTGCCCAAAATGGGGCCTACTTTCCTCAGCTGGGCAGCTGAGATGACCTTCATGCCTTGGGTGACCCTGCTGTAAGGGGGGGGGACTCAGCTACAGTGGTGGGGGCACCGTTGGAAGACCTGAAAGACCAGATTAGGGGCGGAACATCATGGAAAAAATCTACAA